ATATATATTATTATATATATATATATATATATATATATATATATATACGAAAAAAAACACTTTTTTACAATGAATTGCTTGTTTTTTGAAATTAAATTGTTACATTAATATTGATATAAATATTTATTATATACAAACTAACCTTACTTTTATTTTTAAAATTAAATTATATATTAATTAATTCATACTCACTTGCTTTTATGTTTTTTTAATAAAATATTGGTTAAAAACATGATTTTAAATATTTATATATACGTATATGTATAATTTTTTTTTATATCACAGAAAAACTTCTGTAAGTATAACTCAACTTAATAATAAAGGTTAGAATATGTCTAAAATTTAGTTTATCGATTATACCATCTATTGATTAATTAGGAAAACATTATCTACATTTATCAAATGTAGATAAATAAAATATTCTTTTTTTATAGATAATACATTTTTTATTAATATTAAATGACATACTATGAATACCACAAATTAAATATAACGAATAAACCTATTATTCAATATAAATTATAAATGTATTTTCATATCATATAATTTGGAAGCTATGTAACTCTTTTTACTTTTCTCAAGTCATTAAGTACGATGTTATCGATTTAGAATAGAATTAGATAACAGCGCTATTACAGTAGATAAAAATTATAATTAATTTAATCTTTCAAATCAGCAAAATTTTTCTTGCAAATATTGTTTTTACATAAAAAAAACTTTTACAAAATTTTTGTCAAATTAAATAATATGATTTTAAAAATAATTTTCGGTAAATTTTATTTGTTTCATTGATTAGATTTCATTTTATTAAAAAAAATATATACATATATATATATTAAATTCATATGGTAATTTTTATTACATCTTATATGTTTATACTTCGAAAAAAATTAACAGATTTTATTTTTATTGTGTATTTTCATTTAAAATAAATTATAAAAATCTGATAAAATAAAAAAAATTATAAATATTTTTTTTAATTTTTAAAAATATTTTTTTTAAAATAATTTTAAAATAAAAATTTATTTAGTTCTCGTTTAATAAAAGCAACTTTTTGTAATAAAAAAAATTATAAAAAATATAGAACAATTAGTTTGTTTTTTTGTTTGCAATTACTTATTTTAATATATAGTTATATAGTTATATAATTATATAAAATAATGCAATATATTTATATGTCCATTTTATAGACATTCTATTTTTTATTTTTAATTTTATATTCAAATGTAATTCCAATCATTACTCTGCAGTAATATTCTGAATCAAATTAGTAACAATGATATTACAATAATAAAAATATAAAAAGATTCTAATATCTTTAAGATATAGGACAAAAAAATAAATTGAATATTAAGTTTATTTTGTACCTCATCTGTGGTACTATTTACAATTTTAATATTATTTTTTATTTTATGTATAAAATTGTAATATTCATATAAGAAAAAGAAATTAAACAGTTTCATATTACAATATCTTAATATTCGATTACAACACGTAATTAATATTTTAAGCATATTTCTGAAAATTTCTAGTAATGATTTAATAATAACCAATGTATAAGTTAGTGAATTAATTTCTAAAATAAAAAAATAATAATAAAGTGTAAATACTTATAATATTATAACTGTACTGTAATAAATTTGTTTGTAATTGTTGTTTTTATAAAAATATAATTTATTATGTTTATTATTGTAAATTATATATTTGTCAAATAAAAAAAAATTTATTTTTTTTTAATCAAAACTATTCCTTGAAACAAAATTTTTTCTAATTTATACCAAATATATTACAAAATAGGAACGAAATTGTTATAATTAAAAAATATGTATATATAAATTAATGCAATTGATACAAATCATAATTTAAAGCAAGAATGAAATCAATCATTTTATAATAGATGTCATGATGATTTTACTTTATTATTAGCCATAATTTCTAATCTTTTTACTATTTTCGCAAGATCGATTTCTTTTTGTAATTTTAAATAATCTATTTTTCGTACATTATGTATACTAGTCCATGTGGGTAACAATTTACACAATAGACGTACATGTTCTTCCAATTCAGCAGGAGTTAATTTTGCTCTAAATGAGTTTTCTAATTTTGTAATGACAAATTCCAATGTCAAAATCCCTTTTTTTTCAGCTACAAAAATATTACGTAAAATTTTAACTAATTCAGGTAATCTTGAATACATTACAGCCTCTTTTTCAGCATTTGGTGTACGTGTCATAGCTTCTAATGCTTTGGCAGCTTGTTTAGCTCGAACCTAACAAATAATAACAATTATTTTATTAAGATATAAATAAAATAATATAATGAGAAACAAAGATGAAAATATTACTTTTTCAAGAAGAGCTTTTGGTATGCCTTTAAGAGCTGTACTAAGATGATTGTTTTGTACAGTAGGTGTGATAGGTGGAGTATCCACAACAGTAATATTAATCTTTCTCATATTCTCTTCTGTTTGAGTTGAATTGTTTACTTCATTCTTTTCTGAAGAAAGAGTTTTTGATGTCATTTTTGCTTCTGCTAATCGTTGCAATGCCTTTTCCATGCGAGTGCCGCAATTGAATAATGACTTTGCTTTATCTAAGAAAATTCATAAAAATTAAATTTAAAAATATACAAAATACATGATTTATATTCTATTTCTATTCTTACCAAGAACATCTTTTGCAGTTGTAATTTTCTCAACATGAGGTGGTTGAGGTAAATCAGCTTGTTCAATTGGTTTACAACTTTCTACATCAAATTCAGGATGCCAACGAACAATTTTTTCTTTTGGTACATGCATTGGTGTTTCTAAACTAAGTAAAAATTTTTCATGTTCATCTTTTACTTTATCTACAATCAAAAAATAAGATAAATTAATATAAAATGAAGCTAAATAATAAATAAATATAAAAATATTTTCAAAAATATTTGTTTAAAAAATAAATTCAATACCAAGTAAGATATTATAAAACTTTCTTCGTCTTTCGAGTAATATTCGTGGACCCATACTAGCTTCAGATGCTGTTTTTAAAACATCATCTGAATCTGGGGTATTTCTTCCATCCTTTTCTTCAACAAAAGGTATAAGAATTAATTCAAATTTATCTTGTTTGGATGTTGAACCAAATGTACGGTGTTTTTCCTGACAATAATTATATGCATCTGGATAAATGGTTTTGATTTGTGCTAAATGTTCTAATGTGAAATTTTTACGCAATAATTCTTGAATTGCAGGTTTTAGTTTTTTAAAAGTTATTGTTTCTTTACGATTGAACAGCATTGCAGAAATCTATACAATTAATAAAAAATAATATATAGTAAAAAATTTACAAAAAATATTTTTATATATTTTTTATATACAAAATAATATTTACTGTATCTAAACATCTGAATGCCTCTGCCAAAAATCTATAATGATATGGCAATGGTAAAGCAGGAGTACCACTTTCAGCAAGTGATAAATATTGTTGATAAGCTGGTGTTTTAATTGGACTACTTTTCACTGGGCTAGCAGGTGTGTCTTTCGGTTCAAATAAAATTCTGCGTTGAGGACTAGCATTCATTAATTGTTTATTTTTCAAAGGACTTAATATTGTTTTGATTGGAGATTTATGAGCTTTCTGTGGGCTATAAATAACACAAATATTATAACAAAAAAAAAGATATTTAAATCATAAAACATGATTTCATAAATATCTTACCTAATTGGTATCTCAAGTTGAATCTTTTCAAACTTCTGTATCTGCGGTTTAATATCATTTTGTTTATGTAATTGTTCTAATTTTTGTTCGCAATTCTTGAAACGTGCAATAGAAGCTTTTAATTCCATAAGCCTAGAAGACTTATTAATCTTATTTTTTATTTCATTAAGGGATAACTCTTGTTTTGCCAAATTATCCATACTAGAACCTTTTTTTGGTGTTAAATTAATTGATAATTGATCGTTTAAAATATTTGTAGATGAAATTTTAGCAGCATCATCTATTTTAGATGTTCCTGGAAATTTCTTTTTTGGACTTAATGCACCTTTTTTTTCAAACAACACTTTTTTTTCATCTAAATCTTCTGCGATTTTTTGAAAACTTTCTCTGATATCTATCTGTCCTTCTTGACCAGATAATTTTCGTGAACGTGTAACTCGAGTACGAACATTATGTTTAAGAGTTTTTTGAATGTTTGATTTAGGAGAATCGAATTGAATATTCCGAACAGCTGAATTTGATTTTAAAGTACGATTATTCACCAATTCTTTTCCAGGTACGAAAATAACCTTCGGGCTTGTACCCATTTCTTTTTCTTCTTGAATCGAAATTAATGTTCCAGATAATTCGGAATTATCCTTATTTGTTGATGTCCGATTTTGATTATTCACCAATTTCGATTGTTCTTGATCAAGAAGCAAAACCTTTGCCTTGCTTCGCAAATCGTCAGTTGCTTGTCGTTTACGCGTATTAAAATACGCCGTTACTGATGGTTGGGACATCTTTTTATATACGAATATATATGTATATGTATGTAATATAAAAAATCCGTTAAGATTTTCAAAATTTTAATAAATTACAATTAAGTCTCAAATCGCCATAACAGTTACCTATATCAATACTGTGTAAAATCCCGCCTCTTTTACCAGTTTACGCGCTAAATCAGAAAAAATGGATGACTAGCATGTGGAATTTAAATATTACTTTCAGTTTACATATATACTAATATATATATATTTAATTATAATTTTGTTTATTTATAATTTATATATTTATATACAAATTAAAATTTTAATAACTACGTGTATTGAAATATATTATTGTAAATTTTATAAAAATTCCTAGAATGCCAAAAATAATCATCACATATCATAAATATAAATTATAAAATTATAAAAAAAATTTTAATTATTTTAAAATTTACAACATAATTAATATTTTTAAATTATTAATTATTATTAAATATTATTTTAAAATAATTTATTAATTTTTATTTAATGAAAATAGTACCTTAAATATGTAATCCTACTATTACTTTGAATTATTAAGTTGTAAATAAAAACTTTTTAAATAGTTTTATATTACAAATATAAAATAAAAATATATAAAATTTTATTTATTTAAAAAGTTTTAAAGAAAAAGTTTCAAAATATAATAATAAGATAAAGAATTTTAATAGTTTTACTATAAAATATATGTTACAAAGGAAACATTGAAAATAATACGATTACATACATAATATATATTTTATAATGTAATATATTTAGAAAAAAATTAAATTAAGTCTAAAATCTATATGAAATCCATTTATATTTTACTATAATAAAATAAAATTTGTAAAATTGTTACAAATATTTGATA